TGTGTGTGTGTGTGTGTGTGTGTGTGTGTGTGTGTGTGTGGCTTCAAAGAGGGCACTTAAGATGAGACAGTCCAGCATTTAAAAGCAATTTTACAATTAGACAATTTGTTGGTTATCATTGGGGTACCCCTTCCATTTTTACAGCTCCCCTTTTACTGGGCCTCTTACGTACAAGGCTGCCCACGTTGATTGTGGCTGAGCGGCAGCTGCCCACATCTCCGTGTGCCTTAACGGCCCACTTGCACATTATGAAAGGGGCAGAGTAAAGGGGAAGGTATACTCCTGTCCATTTCAATTCATATCTTCAACTCATACTTTGTCTGCTCTCTTAATGATCTTAATGATGCTCATTCACATGTTGTTTTCGTAGTAACACATACGCCGAGGGTGAAGGAATGGGTTAAGGAATGGGTTAAGGAATGGGTTAAGGAATGGGATTCTGTAAGGCGTAGGGGCTGGGGAGGGAGAAAGGGAAGGGGAAGAAGCGGAGTGCCAAGGAGAGGATAGAGATGTGATGAACTTCACAGTGATTCTAACACTCATCCCCGGAGCAGACTACTCTGCAATGGCACACGAGGCCAGTCAGTGTTTGGGTTGTATAAGATTTTGAGTTTAGGAGCAGCCCTTGCCTATGGTAAGTTGCCCCCCCCTACAGACCGGACAGGACCGGTTCGGGTGGGTGTGCACAGTGGAAACACCGCATCCAATTCTCGCAGTCGCAGTTGCTGCATCGAATCACTCAGCGTAGACAGATGTCACAGGCCACGTGGCTCTCACACACTAGGAACAGGGGGGCACACCGACCGCAATTGTAAAGAAGTTGCCGTTCCAGCCCCTGTCTGCATATTGGACACGACATGTCAGGGTGCCGTACATGAGTGCAGTACTGACTGTCATCATACGTATGAAAACAGAAACTCGCATGGGCTATCCCTTCATAACCCTCACTGCACAAGGCATGTGAATCACATGCCAGCCGGATCTCAGGTGGGTCATCACAGAGAGGCATTGAGCAGGATTCACGAGTGTGTGTGTGTGTGTGTGTGTGTGTGTGTGTGTGTGTGTGTGTGTGTGTGTTGTGTGTGTGTGTGTGTGTGTGTGTGTGTG